ACGCGTAGCTTGCCTTTTGAGAAGTCCAGCTGTCTTATTTGACAGCTGTTAAGTCAAACATAGACTTAAATTCCCCCCCATTACGTCGACGCTATGCTTGACTGTTGTTGTCGTCTTTGGATTCCGATGCGTGGATGGAATCTAGAAGTTGTGCTGCCAATCTCATGCTTGAAAAAGTAGCTTCACATACCCGCCTCAACTGCTGAGTTTCTTAGGCTTCACTTCTCGAATTGACTCCATCCAAAAATGGCAATGTCTGTAGGTGAAGGAAGATGAGGGACTTACGATACGAGACAGTTGGTGCGGTAATGTACGTGCCGACGATTTGGTTGGAATTTTGGTGAGCACGGGATAAATGCGATGTTGGTATTTGTTGGATATAGCTCTAATGCCATAGATAAATTCATTCGTAACAAGCATACATCTTCAGAAATTCATCGCTAGCTCTAACTACTCATGTCAATTACTACCGCATCTTAAATGATGGGACTTCGTGATAACTTTATCATTTGAAGCATGTCAAACGTGGTATGAAGCCACAGCAACGTAAGCATCTCGCAACCCTGGTGGGCAGGTGACGTCGGTAAGCATCCACTTTCAAGAGCAATCTAGATTTTCTCTTGCGATAGGCGCTTCTTCTCAGTAATGTGGCACATTACACCGGCAGTTTTTTTTAAAGCCTTATTTTACAAGTAGAGTAGGTTTAGCTTTTCCACCGCGCCAGCTGATGGTTTCAATGAGCCGACCGCTCGACCAGTCGAGGGCGTGAGGACACACCCAATGCGTCTCAAGTAGGTCTAGACGGGTGAGGTGCCACGCAACTCGCTGCAGTAAAACCTGTCTAAATTAAACATGTTGGGACTGGGGACAGTGTTTGATTTAGAAAAGGTTTTAAATAAAGGAAGTATCATACTTATCAATTCAGGTATTGTGCCCAACATGGGTCCATATTGTTTGTTCAATTTAGAGAGGGATTTAAATTAAACAGGTTTAATTTAGACAGGTTCTACTGTAAAGGAATCGTATGGAATAGGGTTATTTTGTGACACTGCTTCATCACGCCTTCGCTCCCTCCCCTTTTCTCTCATTCGAGAACATGCTGGCTTGAGTAAAGATGGTGAAACTGTTCTGTGCGGTGGTGGGTGTGGCAGGAAACGTCTTCTCCGTGCAAGTGGATGAGAAAGACTCGGTGGCAGACCTCAAGAACGTAATCTTGGCGGAGAAGCCGAACGATATGAAGGGCATCGACGCAGACAGATTAGAGCTTTTCCTTGCCAAGACAGAGGACGGCGCGTGGCTGATGGACGACGATGACCTGGACAAGATGCTGCAGAAACAAGTTGACACATCGAAGATGAAGAAGCTGCGCGCGTCGTGGAAGTTGAACAAGCCGGTCCTGTTTGGGCCAGACGTTTCGCTTGGAGAGGACGTGGTTCACGTGCTGGTGGTGGTTCCGAAGGATGAAAACGACCGCTCCGCAGCCATGGCTCT